GGGTGGGGGACTTCTGCAGCTGCACAGTCGGTTCTTTTGTTGTTTGCATGGACGCACTCGTGGAGATGTGCCCGACATCAAATAAAACATGCACGGATGTATTCACAGCAATGCGTCCCGTGTGTGCGCATCAGGCGGGCACGGAGGGGTGGATAGAAGATGAAAGAGAGAATCAATTGATGACGGAGCTCTCAGGGGAGGAGGGGAGAAGTAAAGAGAGGGAGATACAGCAAGTGGTGCGTGTGCGTGGCCTCTTTCATATATATATATAATATATATAATATATATGTTGCTTGCAAGCGCATGTTTACATTTGAAGAAAAGAAAAAAAAAAAGGATAAAAGGGCGCTGTTTTGTTTTGCCCGACGTGTTTTTGTTTGTGGGGGCGTTTTTCCTTTTTTTTTTTTTTTGTTGTTGTTGTTTTTTCAGTTCTTTTTTTTTATTTTATTTGTGTGTGTGAAACGTGTCTTTGCACTTTGTTGTTTGATATTTTTCAATAGAAGATGTATTTATTTGTTTATTTATTTATTTATTTTCTTTCTTTTTGCACTTCTTCTTTTGTTGTTTTTGTTGTTGTTGTGGGCTCACTGTGTGATGAATCTTTTTTTTTTTTTTTTTTTTCCTCTCGGATGCGTGAGTGGTGTGATCGACGACTCCATCGATGTCACACGGTTGTTTAAAAGTTAGAGGGAGAAAACAATGGAGGGGGCGGAGACGCGGCAGAGAGAGAGAGAGACGAAGGAGGAGGTGGAGGTGGAGGAGGGCACGAAAAGCAAATTTGTCTTTTGCAGTCGAACACTTTTTTCCCCCCAAACTTCTCTCTTTTTTACATACAAATTTCAACGGCTCCTGCTCCTGCTGATAGATATTTACCCACAGAGACCGGCACATTTACCGCCGTATGCTTCGTTTTTGTTTCTTTTTTATTTTTTTATTATTTATTTTTGGCTCTTTTTCCCCACCCCCACACACACAGAAATATATATATATCTCCCACCCCACCCCACCATCACTCTTTTTTGTGTGTTTCTTTCTTCTTGTGAATGGAACTTGTGAAGTGGCGTAATTGGCGTACTTGTGTGTGTGTGTGTGTACCGTCTTTTCCCAGCTTTGGTCTCACGACGATACGGTCCGGTTTTTCTCTTTTTTTTTTCTGGTGGGGGGAGGGATGCCGAGGACAGAATGAAGAAGTGGGAGCCACTTTCCAACATCCACCCATGGGCGCCAATGGAATTGTTTTTGGGGCTGTTGGTGGACTGAAGTGTTTCCTTCGCAAGAGCATAAAGACAGTGCTGAGGTGTACGCAGCAGGGAGCCGATGTGCTTGAGGTGTTGTTGTTGTCTTTTTTTTTTTTTTTTTCTTATTTGTTTGTTTGTTCGACTTTTTTCGATTCTTTTACCCTTTTCTGTCTGTTGCTGGCTTGGAAGAGGGGGAAGGAGGGCACATGTGGAAAGGGGAACTGAGAAGGGAAAGGGGGCGTTGCGAAACGAAGAGAAAGAAAGGGGAAATGTTATGGGAACCTCCTTATAAACTGCATACATGCGTGTGGATTATTATTTATTTATTTATTTATTATTTATTATTTATTTATTTTTTTTTCTTTTTTCATGTGTGGAGCAATTGGATCGCAACCCACAATTTATAGAGGGGAAGTGGACGACTCCTTGGCGTTTCTCCTTTTCTTCTTTTCTCTCTGTTTTTGTTTGTTTGAATTTTTATTGTGTGTTTCATTTCTGATTTATTTATTTATTTTTTCTTTTTAGGTGTTGAGGGGAGAGTGGAAAACGCAAGGAGCTTCTATTTTGCCGGGTGACATTCCTCCTTCCAAATTCTTTTATTTTAGAAATGAGGCACCCCAGACGTCACAACATGTCGCCGCGTTTGTTTCTTTTTTTAGAACAGCTGCTCGTCCTGTTATTTTTCTGTCAATTGGGGACTGCGGAGCAGCTGCCGGAGTGTCGTGACTTGGGACTGTTCCGCCCGCCTGCGCACGATGCGAATTCGCCTACAGCGATACCATTGGAGGTGGTAGGTGGTGACGCCAACGTCACATGTCTGCTTCGCCCTGGTGCAGAAGTGGCGACTTTGTTGGGTTCTCCCGAGGGACTATTATTGAGCCCTCTGCGAGACCGCGTTCGACTCGCCGGGT